CTTAAAGAATTGCTATTTTGCTTTGAAAAATTTCATTTCCCTTCTTTCATCATCCATTGATAAATACTTTTACTTTTATACCATAAAATAATCACTTCAATATTTCGTTATCATTAATATAATTATTCTCACAATGCTTACCATACTTTCAGTTATTGAGTATTCAAATTTTGCTAGCTAGATTTAAATCTTATTATGCTTATATCACGTTTATTACAACATTTCTACTTAACTGATTTAGCATAAACAAAATTAAATTTGATCTGTGCTGTTAGTATTAATCAAAGATCAGTGATCAATGTGCTGCATTATTAATAAACAAGCGGTTTACTGTTTATTGATTGATAAAGTAATTGATGAATAACTTATTTGCATCTTTCATTATTTTATAAACTAACAATTGTGTAAAGGTATAATTTAAATTCGAATTTAAATTATCAAAGATTTTGTTAATGTTTACAGACAATTATCACAATAAGTTACCTTAATAGCATGCTTAAATTTTTTCCACATTAATTAATTCAAATAATCAATTACTTATTTTTTCCGTTTCATTTCTTTTTCGTTTTTACTCAGTTATCTTGCAAAATTTGCAATAAATTAATGAAAACTTCCAATGAATTTCAATTATATTTGCATTGAACATTTCAAGCAATTATTTTAATTAAAGAATTTGGAAAAAAAATGAAATATATATAAATTAGAAAAATTAATTTTAATCGTTAAATTGATACATTCAATTATTCGATCATTGAATTAACACTATAACAAATTTATTCTGGTAATTCGATAAAATATTGATTTCTTAAATTAGCTTATTTCCATTTTTTTTTTTTTGACAATAAAATTAGTAAAAAATGAAAATTAAATGTAACAATTGTTGTTAATTTTAGTCAAATATTGAAGTTTACCTTTTTCATTACACTAATGGAATGATATTTGAATACGATGAGATGAATGGTTTTGCCGAATATTCATTGTCATTTGTGATTACAAATATTTCACATTGTAATCTTTTCCGTTCCATTTCCTTTTTACAATAAATTGATAATAAGCAAAGCATTTTCATCTTATCATTGACAGCATTCTCATTTTATCAGTGACAGTATTTCACATCTGATCAATGATAGTTTGTAATTTACAAAATGCATCAGCTGTTTGGTGAAATGTTTTAATTTGATAGATTCTTATCTTTTATTTTATCTCTTTCAATAATCTCAATATTGGGAAAAAGATTTAAATATTTCAACGAATTTCATTTAGCAATTAACAATTGTCGATTTAATTAGTTGTTTTTGAAATTAGTTATACGTGGATTTTATGGCTTTCAGATGTGCTATTACTATTATTATTATTACAATTATTGTTGCCATTACTATTATTATTATCATTATTATTATTATTACTATTATTACTATTATTATTATTATTATTATTATTATTATTATTATTATTATTATTATTATTATTGTTATTATT